AGGAGGGATGGGGGTGAGGGGAAGGAGGGGGAGAAGGGACTTACATGTGAAACAAACTTGTTCCCTAACTAGAACTAATAAATAAATTTAAAAAAAAGAAGGAGTCAGGAGAACAAAGAGAGACACGGGCAGTAGATGGGGCGGAGTATCAGGTTGGAGTTTTGTTTGAGATGGGTAGGAGAAAGCTCTTTTTCTGGAATGACAACAGTGGAGGAGGAAGCAACTGGGTGCTTTCTCTGCCTCTCTCAGCTAGCAGGTTTTCACCCCTGCATTTGGCTCTCAAGTCTTTATTGATAAAATAGAATAATAGAGACATGGTTGAAATCAACACTGTCCAGTCTTAATTTGAGGGGTGTGTGCCTAGTCTTATTATATCTTGATATGCCATGTTCAGTTGACATCCCTGGGAGGGCTGTCCTTTTCTAGAGGGAAATGGAGGAGTAGCAGATGGGGAGAGAGGGACTGGGAGGAGAGTAGGGAGGGAAATTGTGGTCAGGATGTAATATATGAGAGAATAAATTTAAAAAGTATGATTTTCATGAGAAATCAGAATTGTAGGTGTCAGATATGACGTGTTTGACACTGGAAAGTTCAACTATTTTTGAATTATTATGAATTATGTTCTATCTCAAGGAAAAAGTATCCCCTTGTATGAGAGAAGCAAATTTTATTATTCATAGCACATTAAATTTTACAATTAGCCTTTTGTTTTTACCTCTTCTCTTCCTGAGTACAGGTGGTAGCATAACCGACGGATTGCTCCTAGTGTCGTAAAAGCGTCTGGAATACCAACTCTACAGTGAGCCAGACTAGCTATTAAGTTACCTAGAATTAAAACAAAGAAAAGCCCTTATATTATCATATGTTGCTTTTTCACTTGTGCACAGGATTTTTAAAATTCTGAGCTACAGAACCTCTCTGTTAAATGAAGAAGCAAGAAAAAAAGAAACATGCACACGTACATGTGGAATAATTGTTCATGTAGTTGATGGAATTTCTGTCACACATACTAAAACTTACACAGGTCTATTTCTGTACCCGTTTTTAAAGTTGGAAGTGCTGGTTATGGTGGCGCACACTGGTAGGATTTGCTGAAGGAGGTAGAGGTAGGAGGATCATGAGTTCAAGTTGGAAGCTTTCTGTTTTCCAAACTTCAGAAATATATTCACTGGTTTTATTTTTTAAGCTTTTATAAAATGTGTTTATTTTACATGTATAAGTGTTTCCCCCGGTTTATGTCTGTCCATGATATGCATTTCTTTTCATATGAAGAAAATTAATATTGGGGGCTGGAGAGATGGCTCAGAGGTTAAGAGCACTGACTACTCTTCCAGAGGTCCTGAGTTCAATTCCCAGCAACCACATGATGGCTCACAACCATCCGTTATGAGATCTGGTGCCCTCTTCTGGTGTGCAGATATACATGGAAGCAGAATGTTGTATACATAATAAATAAATAAATAAATTCTTTTTTTAAAAAAAAGAAAATTAATATTGGAAAGCAAATGTAATATGGCATCTCTTGTAGCAAAGAGATCATGAATCAAAATCTAAAACCACTACTATTAAATTTCCTTCCAAGACCCTTTCATCTACCTAGCGTAGAAGAGTTTTCATTGAGTGACTCATCTTCCTTTCTAAGCAGATAGATGTGCTTCTCTCATAAAGCAACTGGCTAAGTTACTAACATATTTGAGCTTTTACTAGTATTTTACTAGTATTCACAAACTATCATTCTGAAACTGTTTATGTAGCTGTGTGTGGTAGTTCAGTTAAATATTATTTATCCCCCCACCTATTGTTACAAGTATGGGTAAGCTTGAAGTGGATATTCTTATACAGATAACACTGTGTCAAGAGCACTAGTGAACCATTTTTCTTTGCTGTGTTGTATTTCTTTTGTTTGTTTGTTTGAGACAGGGTTTCTCAACTTAACCCCGGCTGTCCTAGAACTCACTATGGAGACCACATTAGCTTCAAATTCACAGAGATCCACCTGTCTCTGTCTCCAATGAGTTGGAATTAAAGGCATTCACTTGTCTCAACAGTTAAGAAAATCTGTTGTTTTTATAGAAGACCTTGGTCCAATTCCCAGTGCCTACCTACATGATGGCTCACAACCATCTGAAACTTCAGTCCCAGTGGATCCAACACCCTCTTCTGACCTTCTGGCAGGGCACACAGACAGTGCAATACATATTTGCAGGCAAAGAATGCATAATAATATTATATATCAATCTAAAAAATTTCAAGAACTCTTAAATAGTAACAGAGTGTATACATTCAAAAGAAACACAAAGCATATCAGTGTAAATCTGCCACTACTACTGAAAATCAGAGTGTAAATTTTTTTCTTGGAAGTGGTCTAGATACTTTATGGTCTAGAAAATCATTAGAAGTTGGAAATGATAATTCGGAAAGCAAAAGGGCTGTGCTGGGAGTTACTACATTTCTGTTCAGTAAGCAGGGTGGAACCCCACTGCTCCATGAAGGATGCAGAGTGGGTGCTGATGCCCACTGCTCCATGCAGACATGTTCAGTATTTTCAAGTAGTATAATTTGAAACTATGCAACAGGGAATTAGACATATTTTAGTATTGTTGAGATTCTAATCTAAAATATTTTTATAATCTGTCTTGAGCACAAATCCACATTCCTTTGTGTAGATGCCATTATATTATTTTGTTTTGTTTTGTTTTATTAGCTATTCCTTACCTGTCAAGACAATAGTTGGAAAGTGGGCTGAATACAGACTGTCAACTAAAATAGTAACACCTCTTGCAGACGCAGCAATATGGTCCACGTCTATAATGACTTTAGCTAATACGATAATCTAAAAGAAAACAAAACAAAAAAACAGAATTAGTAAGTGTTTGCTACTCATATTCTCTTAATCATTTATGATTTGGGGGCACTTTTTAGGGGGTAAAGGGAACATTTGGTGGGCTCCAATAAGAGATATGTGATGGGTGGGAAGCAAGAGTTAAAGTACTTCCCCCCAAATGCTCACAGCAATGACCACAATGGCCACATTATTCACTCTGCGGGTCTTGCAGCATTTGACCTTGAATTTGAAGAGAAATACTTCACAAGGTTGTGGGACAGAGAAGTTCTGAAGAGTAAGCACACAGAGGAGCCTAAATACTGCCACAGGTGGAAAGAAGCTATGCCATTAGCTGACAGTCCGTAGTTAGACCTGTTTTCAACCCAACCATGTGTCTCTAAACAGTTGCTATAAACATGATGTGATTAAAGTATCTACCTGCCTATGGACCTTCCAGGGTTGTTGCAGGCATCAGATGTAACGAGAAATTCTATATAAATAAAGAAGTCCTAATAATGGGCTTTTCATGAGGTAGAGGGGCTAATGTGCAGAATACTGAATTTTACAAATTTATAATCATTTTTCTGAATCTCCCATAAAGAAATGTTCACTAAGACAGTGTACTTGCCAGTATGAAATGTTAGTCCCTGTATACCTGAAATGCTGCCATTGCCCTCTCTGTTTCAACTTTGGATCGAAGAAAAGGCTCAAAAATAGATAAGGTTATCCTTCCATTTTCCAATATTAAGTACTGTTGAAAACGATTGTTGAAGGCAAAAAGAGTTAGTGCATAACCTGCTCTCAAGCAAATTTCCTAGGAAAAGGAGAAACACCAATAATTTTAATTTGCTTCATTACTTGTTACTCAATGGGTTTTGAGTTATTGCCTAATAAAATGCATTTCATTTTTATCAATTAGAGAAATATGATATTGTTGTGAGAAATTTTTAAAGAAAAATAATTGCCTCCTATTAGCTGTCTTGGGGAAAGCTATTTTCACCATCCAGCATTTCTGATGCCTTGGGACTCTCTGGGTAAGAAGTATATGGTGGGGGATTGGAAGGGTATGCAATTAAGTGAAAGGTTTGATTCAGGACATAGATTTCACCAAGCATTAAATTTGCAGATCACAGAAGACATACAGCAACTATGAAAAATTTGGAGCCATATTATCTCACCACTACAAACCCATGACCTACAAAGACAGATTTTGTATATTCTCTGTATATTCTCTTAAATAAATAATGCATGGATGCTGCCATGGAGAATGCTTGATCATAACTGATTGTGTTTTCCTGGAACCATTTCCCCTAGACAAGCACGCTGAAGTATGTAAAGGTCCTACCTTATCTTTTGAGTGAAGAAGATAAAGGACATCAGAATACACAAATCCTTCTTTTTCTTGTAATTCTTTCTGCAGCGAGTCATTCCCTAGGACGATGCATGCCAAAGAAAATGCCACTTCAACCTAAATGTGGTTTTCAGAAATTATGTTTCACTCACATATTACTAAGAATGTAGTCACTGTATAAATATTTATATAGGCTAGATTGTGGAAATATAATTATAAGGTGTTTTAAAGCACAATGTGTTGACTATAATTCTTTGACTACTTTGGTTACTTTGTTAGAGTAACCCAGCTTCTGGAGGGCTGTCCCTCATAGATTTTAATGGCCAGGAAGCAACCATCTGATCCTCTGTGACCAGAGATCATCACACATCTCCTGAGGGCACGGGAGGGGGAATGTCCTAGAAACATCAAGACACGTACAGAGGTACAATCAAAATCTTACATATGTATTGTATCCCTTCCACATCTAAACATAATTTTAAAATGTTTACTAGCTTGGGTTTAAAGGCTGTTTTAAGTTGCTAATGACCTCAACACTGTCAAACTGTAAGGGACGGCCTAAAAATTTAAGCAAGTTTTGTAAAAGTAAAATCAAGGAATAGTCTTTCTTATCTAGTTTTTAGATTAATTTAACTTGCATCTCTCTTCCAATAAGAAGATAAACTATGTACATTGCTGGATTTGACAGGCAGTATTAGAAAGTGCTATACTATGTCTTTCTATAAAAAATGTTAAGAATTTGAATAGAGTTTAATTTTCAGGAAAATGACCGAAAGTATTTATGTTATAGTTTAACACCATTGAAAGATAAATTGAATTATACATGGATAAAATAAAAGTTTTCTATGAAAATACATTGAAATATAAATGTATTTTATATGTCACTTCATTGTCTGATGAAATATACTTATACCTTAAAAGTCTATATAATTTTATTTGTAATTCAAACAAAAATGATTTGTAACTTATGCCTCCCTTTATTTCCCCACTGAATTCTTGCAATAAATAATCCCTTTTGTCTCCTAAAAGGCCAAGAATCTTATGATATATTTTCTGATAATGTGTTTGTAAAAGGAAATATTACTATCCACTAACATGTTAATCTCCTGTATTTTTCTATTTCTTAACATATCCTGAAAGACCAAATAACTTATGCTTTTTTATAATATATCTTTTTATAATATATCTATAAAAGGAAATGTTACTATTCACCAATACTTTATTCTATAGTTTCCTGATTCCTCATCACTAACAGAGCCCCTGGAAAATTATGATATGAAAATGTATTTTTTTGTGTGTTATAATTTCCTGCTTAGCTACCAATACAATTCCTGAATTTCTGTGGCTTTGGTAAAACGGTTTGAATTGATGCTGGCATATTAAACGCATTTTACTAGTGGGAAAAAAAGGGAATAACTCTCAAAGACCATAGAGTAATTCCTTGTAATCCAGCCCTGGAAGCACTGGCTAACAGCCAGCCCATGCTATTTTGATAAGTGTTCCCTTGTTCTTGAGAAGCACTGCCATTATTCCTACCTAATGTAAATAGTCACTGAGGAAGTGGCAAGTTCTTCTGTGAATACATAATGAAAGACTAAGGAAAAATAACCAAAGAGTACGGGCATAAGACTTTCATGTCATATTGGAAGAAATTAATATTTACACATCAATATTTTCTGCTTAAAACTTTTAGAATTTTGTTTCAAAAGTTAAATTGTTGTGCTTGTAAACCTGCATAATATAAGATACGAATTATCACCGGGCGGTGGTGGCACACGCCTTTAATCCCAGCACTCGGGTGGCAGAGGTCAGGATAGCCTCCAAAGCCACAGAGAAACCCTGTCTCGAAAAACAAAATCAAACCCAAATAACAACAAAAAAGACAGCTGGGGTGAGACATATAAATTCACTTAGGCTAAAAGTAGCTGAAGCCAGAGTAGTTGAATCACCAAGAGAGCCATACTGTTGACATCCAGGACAGAAGCCTATGAAATTTAACATTTAAAGGTCAGCTGGAGAAGGCAACTAGTGCTATAAAATGGGACTCTCTCTCAAAAAGAGAGAAAAGGGAAGGAGAGAGGAAGGAGTGGAGGGGAGAGACACACAGAGGAGAGATGGAAGGAAGAGGGACAGGGAGCAGCCATGGAGGTTAGGGTCAGCAGGAGACTATGAGGGGATGGCCGGGAAGACCAGAGGAAAGCCACAACTGGTCAGAAGCCACTGGTCATTTCGTGAATTAAGTGACAGGTATGGCCAACTTCACTGGCTGTGGCAGCCAGGTCAAGAAAAGTTTAACTCCTCCTTTACACTGAGCAATGAGGTTTTTAGCAGCTGTGGCAGAACTCTTATCAATTTTAGAAAGAAGCATGGAAACTGTATTTACTGGGGAATAAATTCAGGACACAGGAAAGCCTTCGTCAGGCTAATCTGTCAGCCTCCTAAAAATTCTTCACTATGAATACAAAGATCAGAAAGGTGTCAGCCCCAGATGAAGACAGTTTCCAAACAGTAAAGAGTGTGGGTGATACTGAGATGTGGTGGGATCACAATGGACAGTTAGTGGTATAGGCAAGAGCTGGTCAGCAGATTGCTATCAGTTTGATACACAATACAACTAGTGACATAGAAAACTGTCTTTTGACTGGTAGAGGACCCTTTCTGTTTGTAGTGGCAAGAAAGCAAGCAATGGAGTAACTACAGGTGGGGTGAAAGTCATGATGCAAACACACCCCAGGGTATGACTCCAAGGAAACAACTCTATGGCACCTTTGCTCTTGGACATCCACCTAACAGAACTCGGGAATACATTTTTTGAAAAGACTTCTGAGCTGGGCAGAGGCATGTCTTGGGCTAATTAGCTGAGCTTTCTGTGACCAGCTCAGAATGGGACATGCATATTTGAAGGACCAGATAATATTTAGAATAGTGCTTAAAAATTCCTCAAGTAGGAAAATGAACTGTGACAAGTGTATTATAGCTCAGGAACGTGAATCTCAATTGTTTAGCTTCTCAAAATTTTAGTTCTGGAATCTGTCAGATTGTAAGCCAGAGTCCCCAAAGACAACAGCAAACTGAGTTACTGTGGCTGTGGCTCCTATGAAGACTGCTGGGAACGTCCTGTCTATATTTTACACAGACACTGGACTTTTTTCTGTCTCAAAAAACTAGCCCCCCAAAACAACCCCACAAAAGATACAAATTATTCTTAAAACTGTTGTATATACTACATTTAACATTTCAGAAAGCATTTAAAACTTTAATCCATACCTTAATGTTAAGTGAAGGGTGAGTTCTTAGTAATTGAATAAGTACAGGTAAGGCATTCTCCTCCACAACATACTGTTGACTCAAGGGATTACTCGTGTGGGCCACACCTGTAAAGTTCTCATAGGTCAATGACGTCATGTTTTTGTTCTATTTTTGTAAATTAGAGAGTCAAACTTAGCTTGATATTGGTTGATAAACTATCATAAAGTAAACTGGCTAACAAATTTTAAAAACATAGTATATTGATACTATTTTAATACTTCCTTTGACTTTTTTAAAGGGCAGGATGAACATGGAAATTCATTATTAGAATTATAGTTGGTTTTATAACAAGGGACACAGCACATAAATTTGAAAAGTGCTACATTACTAAAGCATCATTGGTTAAAAATATTACATTCTGGTACTCAAGTTTGTTTATCTACAAAAATGACTAACCACTAAGTTAAAATTTCTAGCTTTCATAAATTGCATATACTAAAATATAAACACTGTCTTCCTTTACAACATTCTATATTTTAAGTTGCAATGTAACATCAGGAGAAAACTCAATCTCAGTTTTGTGAATATACATAAACAATTTAATTTTGTTTTGCCAAGGAGTGCCATTATATGGATAGTAGGTTTATATACTTAAATATAGTATAAATATAGTATTATGTACACTATATAGATACAAATAGAGTGAAGTTATGTACTTAAATAAAATACAAGTTTAGGCATCTCTGAATAGTGATGAAGAGCCACCCACATATTTGAAAGTTTAAATTAACTATGGGGAATAGAATGAGCAACACCTATTTAATCAATTTATTTTATCTCCTTCACCACCCCCATAGAAGGACAGTTGTTAAAAAGACAAACATGACATGTACTCACTCATATGTGGATTTTAGACATAGAGTAAGGGATTAGCATCCTACAATCCACACTGCCAGAGAAACAAGGAAGACCCTAAAAGAGACAAACTTTGTCCCCTGGAGAAGGGGAAAGGGTCACCATCCCCTGAGCAAATTGAGAACATAGGAAGAGGGGGGAGGAAGCTATGAGAATGAGAAGGGAAGAAAAGGAAGGATGCAGAGATCATGAGGGAGCAGAAAGGTTGAGTCAGGTGTAGATTAGAAGAAAGGTCATATGATAGGTACGATTTTAGTTGAAGGGGTGGTAGGGGAGGAGGGGAGGGAGAAGGGAACTGGGATTGTCATGTAATTCAATCTTGTTTGTAATTCAAATATATAAAAAATAAAAAACAAAAAAGGACAGTTGTTGTTGCAGGAATGAACACACACAGAACACACAACACACACACACACACACACACACACACACACACACACACACAAACGAACGCGTGCTGTGGAATGTTTGTATACATGGTGAAGATGTGTCTTTGCCAAGGTGCCTTCTGATTGGTTTAATAAAGGGTTGAATGGCCAATTGCTAGGCAGGAAGAGGTTAGGTGGGACTTCTGGGACAGAGAGGTCTCTGAGAAGAAGGACAGTAGAATCGCCAGTCAGACACAGAGAAGAAACAGGAGGTGCAAGATGGAAGAGAGCTAATGCCATGTGACAGAATGTAGATTAATATAAATGGATTAATTTAAGTTATAAGAGCTAGTTGAGACAAGTCTAAGCTAAAGGACAAGCTTTTGTAATAAGTCTCTATGTCATCATTTGCAGGCTGGCAGTTAGAACGAGAAAGCTTGCTACCTATGGTGTCCATTTCAGAAGCACAAATTTCCACATAGGACCTGAGAAAGCTTTAAAAAAAGTTTCAAATATGAAAACAGGGAATCAGATGCAGCTTCCTAGTCCCACAGTGTCTCAGGTGGGCCACGGTGTACAGCAATGCAGTTCCCAGCCACTGTGTGTGGGCTTGCCCTAGCCAGTACCACATGCAGAATTGTACAGTGGGATTTATAGTTTGGATCACACAGTCAGAGAAGGCTGCAGTCACACAGTAAAGCAGTCCAGACTGAGAAAACCTTTAAGCAGATACAGTAAAAATGGGTATACACAGCCATAGAAAAAATAGCTTAAAATAATAAGGTATTTAAAGAAAAAATAAAGTAATATAAAAAGAATAAGCCATGTGAAGATGGGAAATACACAGGGAATCTTGTTGCTTTGTTGACTTTGGATTTTTTGAAATCTGATGCGTGAATGGCAGCTGCTGAAAGACACTGGATTATGGAAGAGGCTACTGAATTAAACCAGCCTATATACTTCAGAGATGTCTTGGCTTCAGAATGGAAGTTGGGAAATGTGTTGCATTGGGGGAGAGGTTATGCCTTTGTTTCTATAGGAAACAAAAAGCTATGGATTCCTTCAAAGTTGATAGTCATCAGATTTGATTAGGGACAAACACCTGAGGATCTTGGCTACAGACATGAGGGAGGAAGAAAATAAAGACAACAGGACAGATGACATTTACACTGATCCCTCTGCATAGGAACAGTTCTGAGACTGGATGAGACATAAATCTTGTTGGCTACGGAGACCTCATGGCTTATTACTTAACTACATGCCATCCTTTTGTATGGCATGAGTAGAGGTTTCATTATACAGTCCAAACAAGCTTATAAAGTTAACAGGTGCCTTTTACCTGCTCAAGCAAAAAACAAGAAACATCATTAGCTGACTTATACATATCACAATTCCATATTTGTGTTAATATAGATGTATATATTACCTTTAAAAGCTTATGTGCAAGGAGGGCCTAGGCCCTCTCCCACAGTTGTATGACAGACGTTGACAGTCCCCCATCGAGGGCCTCACCATCCCTGGGTAGGAGATGGGTGGGTTGGGGGGGTTGTTGGGGAACATGGGAGGATGGAAGGGCGTGGGAATGGGGGGATGGATATGTAAATATGAGTGCCTCTAAAAATAAAAAAAAAAAATTTTTAAAAAGTGTATGTGTTTTCAGAACAAAAGAACCAGACACCCAAGTAGCCAGATGATCCAGCCTCTCATAATGCCTCTATTGCAGTTTCCTCAAAATTCTGCATCCAGAACAACTTCAAAGCTGCTAGTTGAGATGGTCCAGCCTCACAAACTAGTCTAGCCAGGACTTCAGATAAGCTCTACACTTTCCCATCTCAGAGACTAAACAAAAAAAATAATACAGCTAGCTCTCCCAGGGCTTGACCATTATCCCTATTTTCTCAGGGTCCCCTAAAGATGCTGTCACCTCCATACAACAGGAAACAGACTAGAAAGCACAACACCCATATTCCTAAAAAATGAGGAGGGTGGTTTTGGTTGTTCGATGGGTTATGAATGTTTGTCATCATTTATGGAAGTTAGTTCCAAGTTGTTACTAGTCATGGTTAAAAAAAAAAATCTAAACAAAGAAGGTTAGACTCAAGGATCTCATTCTGAAAAGAAAAGGGGGTATAGTCTAACATATTTTACATTGGTCTGGATTTTAACATATTGATACAAGTTCAAGGTTATTTTGTTAGAACATACTCTCTATATGTTTCTACTTTTGTTTAAGGTATTGTACCTATGCAGCTCATTTAACAATGTAATGCAAATTTCCAGTTCTTGAAAGTTATTACAAGCTATTTAGGATATTTAAGAAATACAAGTTAGTAATTAGTCATCTGTAAAAATCAAATGTGTAGTCATGTTAGCTGTTTTCAAGGTCAGAGATATATTTTAGATAGAAAGGTGATCTTCAAACACTTCATAAACCTACAGAATATGGCATTTAAGGTTTTTTTTAGTAACATAAGGCTTTTCATAAGAGTAAGACATGTCTGCTCCTTGCACAGAAAGCCTCTTTTCTCTTGTTTTCAATAAATAGTCCTCAGCCTCTACCCTAAATTCAGCAGGGTCAGCAAAGAACCCAAATGTTATTGGTAGATCAATCACGAAAACTTCTGCAATTTTTTCATGAACCCAATAAGTCAATTCTTTTGCAACAAAGGCCACTTTCTATAAACTATTATTTATATAAATAAACAAGAATTGGAAAAATGCAATTGAATGTTAATCTTAAATTTATGGCTCTTGACATTAAAAAATTCTTTTACATGGGATTCTTTTAGTTCAAAGTAGTCAGTGTTTGTTGTCTTCATTTTCTATTCTACTCAGAATTCAAGAGCAAGGCAGATGAGAAATTCTTAATGTCACTACTTTAATTCACCAAGGTCTTTCTTAGAGGTCTTTCATGGTGTAAACAGAGGTAAAGAAACAAATTTTTTACTTCTCTACCTAAGACTTACTTTTCTCATAGTAATTTAAAAAGCGAGACTGCATACAAACCAACACAAATGGATCCCACTGCTCTGATGACACTCAGGAGTGTGCCTTCAGCTATCTTATTAATTCTCAGTAAGCGAACCAGAGGTGCAATGCCGTTCCCTTCACATATTTGGTTTTGATGGATCTTGCTGTCCTTGCTGAGAGCAATGACTGCCTCACCTCCTGGTAAAGAACAGTAAGAGGTGGGTATGGACTTCAGCATCTACACCAGCAGTATGTATAGAGAGTAACTTACCTACATACTGCATCTTAGCTGATGGAGACAAAAGCATGTTTATTATAAAGTTATATCCAATCTGTTCTGCCATATACTTCTGTTGTTTCAGAGTTTGTCCTGCCAAGGCCCAAAGTGCTACGGCTCCTTGCTCCTTAACATTTAGTTGAAAGGCCTATTAAGACAAAAACATGCCATTCATTCAGTGAACATGTTCTGAACACATTAGGGATATATATTTTTATAAAGTGTGCATTCTGGAATTTGGTTTGATTTTCCAATCTCCATGTAAAATCCAAAATGAAGTAAATCAACTAAGCAGTTGGAAGGGGAATGATCAAATCCCTACCTTTAGTAGTTTTAGGAGATCTTTAGTTAAGTTTCTTTTCAGAAATGCCTTCTGGATTAAAGGGTTGTAGTTTGCCAAGGATTCCACAGCCATCGCACCTTTCACTTGGACACTGAGCTGCTTCCCTTTAAAAAGATCTACCAGGGGAGGAATGGCCCCTTCCATTGCTATAGCATCCTGCACGTCCCTATTGTCACGGCCAACTTCAGCGATTGTAGCTGAGGACACTGCCTTCAGTATATCTTCAAAAGAGTTGAGAGGAAGTAAACAAGTCATCAAAAGTGTAAATCTACCACACTGCAGGACAAAAATCAGATTCATAAGTTCAAAGAAAATTTAGAAAACAAAAATACAAAAAAACTGTCCAGATTGATCATTTAGATTTTACTTTGTCTACTACTTCTTATATGGATATTTGGGCATATTTAGATAATTATAGACATATTTGATATAGTTGTAATACACGTATAATATCTAGAATTTTTGTTTACCTTTAAAATATTTTCTCCATTCTTTTATGGACATAAAAGTCACAAATGCCTTGTAAATATTGCATCAATGGTCATATTATAATTTATTAGCCACTCACACTTTAAATATAGATGTTGCTTCAAACTTTTTGCCGTTTTAAATAATTCCAGGAGAAATTTTCTGAACAGGTAGATATTTATCAATACATTTTTTCCTTTAGCATTGAGCATCTTTAATTGCTGGAATATTTCTGTACATTTCAGTAAATTGCTTTCTAAAAGAATCAGTGGCATTTTATTCTTTCATAACCAGAGCTCAGGCATATCAATTTGACTTTTTCTTCTTGAATACATATATTATCATTAAAATGAATACATAAAACTTGATAGACAAGATGATATTTCATTTTATTTTGTTGTTACAATTTACAGAACACTTGTAAGAATGAGTGAGAGAACTCACATACTTGACCTGCATTCATAAATTTAACTCATTAGTACATTGATTTTATATATTTATCTGTCTACAACTTAGTTTTAGTTTATTTATCTGTTTGTTTGTTTGTTTATTCTTCTCTGGCTAGCTTGAAACTCACTACATAGGCCAAACTTGGCTCAAACTCACAAGGATCCATCTGTCTCTGTCTCTCCCATACTGGGACTGAAGGAGTGTACCACTATACCAGACTACAATTTAGTTTTCTACATCTCTGTTGGGAGCACAAAGGTCCTTGTGCCCATGGATAACCAGGGAAACCAGAAATGTTAAGCACACTGGATTGTCTTTCCAAAGGAGATTAAGAAGTGGAGGTGACTAACTGCCTGACGATCTGCATTATCTGTAGGGCCAGACTATATTAGGTTCCCACAACCAGGACTGAAGGTGTTAATAGCCAAAATAACTATCTCTAGAACCCATCTTCTTGGAAGAAATCACACGAACTGTTTAGTTGAGTTTCAATGGAATTATGCCTCCTTGTGCACTGAGGATTGTATTACACCAGGAAATTCCTCCCCCCAAATTGTACTATGTTTAAGTGTGCTGGCAATAAACTTGTCTGGTGTCAGACTCCCTGAAGTTTGATCCAGTCTGGTTGACCAAGTCAGGCTGAACTGAGTTTTTCTTCTTGCCTCTTTGTGGGCGACTTTGCTGCCACCCACAATGTATTCAGGGACCCACATATATTTGAGATTATGTGTAGATATATAGATAATCAATCAGTAGATGCAATACTTTCATAATATTATGTCTGCTACCCTGTAATGTCCTCTATGACACTTTTCTCTCTCAGTGTCGAGAGCATGCATTTCATTTATGATGTCTCTATAGATCCTGTAATCTACAAAAGTTCTTTTGTCTTTCTGTTACTTTTGTGATTTAGACTTTTTAAGTGAATACTCATCATTTATTTTAAAGCTCAGTTAAGGTTTGTTTAATGTTTCTCATGATTCAAGATATGCATCTCTATCCAAAACAATTAAAAAGTGATATATTCTTTGATGCTAGTTTATGTGGTGTTAAATGATGTTCAGTTATTTTCATTAGTGATGTTAATTTTGATTCCACAGTTTAGTTGCTATACTGCTTAGTTGTCATTACTGCCTTGCTTCTAACGAAAAGAAAACTGCACTTTAATATTGTGTAAATAAACTGGACACACCTTTAATCCCAGCACATGGGAGGCAGAGGCAGCTGGATCTCTGTGAGTTCTAGGCTAGGGTGGTCTACCCAGTAATAATAATAATAATAATAATAATAATAATAATATTAATAATAAGATCTTCATCAAGATTTGCCACCAATTGAGAAGAAACATAAATTTTTTCCTGAAAAACTCTTAAAATTTTCATAAAACATTAGTTTGCCAAACTGATATTCCTTTCTCAAAAAGCAAAGTAACACAGATAAAAGCCACGAACCTACTTTGATGCTATTTTCTTAATATTCTATGGCTGAGCCACCTGGCCCATAGCAAGGAGAATTAGTTGTCAAGATGCTGAAGTTATATGCAAATTTTTTTTCGAGACAGGGTTTCTCTGTGTAGCATTGGACCCTATCCTGGCACCCGCTCTGGAGACCAGGCTGGCCTCGAACTCACAGAGATCTGCCTGCCTCTGCCTCCCAAGTGCTGGGATTAAAGGCGTGCACCATCAACGCCTGACAATGGATGGAATTTTAATGTTTTTTTGTTTTGTTTTGTTTTTAGACCAGGCTGGCCTCAAACTCACAGACATCAACCTGCCTCTGCCTCCCAAGTGCTGGGATTAAAGGCGTGTGTCACCAATGCCTGGTGTTATATGTACAATTTATGCAGAGTGAAAAATAATTAAAATCTTAAATGTAAATGCTTCATACTCCTTAAAGTAAGAGAATAATAGAAACTCCAGTGTAGGGAAACAATGCTTTTATTTAGGTGTTAAATCTACAAAGGACTTATTTTAAATATTTATTTCTATTACTTGTTGTGAACTCATTTACTTAAGTTACTGTTATAATTACGGCTTTTTATAGTATCTAGAACAGACAGGGAAACAAAAAAAGAGCTAGTCTCTTACTTTAAGTTTCAATTAATGGCACAAACAAAGTAAGATGAAGGATTAGAAACAAAATTGACATGGTTAAACTGTGCATAAAGGCTGCCCCTCTGTGCTGCTCCTCAAGTAGCCAGTAGAGCATAGTTAGTGGTGTAGAAAAACTTGTAACAGAAAACTCAGGGGCTGGAAGGGAACTTTAAGTGTCTTTGCTATATGAAACTGATTCTTAGAAGATGATAATGGCTTAAACTGAAATTCTAAAATAATGTAGGCTCTCTGCAGAATTCCCCTTGTCCTTATCCCTGGCTTATCTTTTAACCCATGTTTTTTATTTTGTATTTATTCTGTACTCACATATGATGAACTGGGGCAGAAAGACAGATGACAAACTGAGCAGGAACAAAAAGGGACACATCTGTACCCATGTTCTCCTTAAAAATGTAATGCTCATACTGCCGCGTATGCTCACTAGGATGGGAGTGTTGTTATGGAACACAGGAGATCATTAGCAGCTGCTGCAGAAGCTGCCTGGTACTTCTTGGGGCTCCTGGTGAGGTGCATTTTAGAAGCAGGTATCTGGCTTAATGACTGCTGATTGCCTTGAATTTTGATATCGGATATAGAAGAGTAAATCTGAAGCTCTTGGTGTACATTGCAAAATAGCTACCAATGATCAAAATAAATATTTATTCATACAAGATGAAATGTCCTCCTCAAACATATTATTTACTCTATTTTTATTATTCATGCTTAAATTTTATTTATGCAAATGTCTAGTTAAACATGTTAGCATTAGTATACTTTTGAGAGTCAATTATTTGTATCAACTTGGCACTTTTGAGTTTTCCAGATATTTGGGTTATATTATGTGCAGAGATCCAGTCAAAGATAAATCCAAAATATTTGTTCCTAGATAAATCAAGATCATGCTTGCTTCATCTGGGAAATCTGGTCACTTTTAAACTGACAGGTGAGGCTCACCAGAATCAGAACTCAGGAACCGGATGAGGTACTGGATGCCATTGTGGTCTACCATTGCTCTCTGGTTGCCTTCATTCCCCATACATAACACTCGGATACAGTTCATCACATTCACCAACACACTTTCCATGTCTAGGTTCAGGAGGTTTATCAGAGCTGGGATTCCATTCTAAAAAGAAACAAAACGGAACGTGAATTCACCAAAGACTCATGCAATTTTGTTTAGAAGTCTGTAATCATTCTGTAAACACATCCTTATTTAGTAGAGAACATGTTTGTAAACAAAAGTGTCTAGTAAGTTAAGACACCTGAGTGTCTTATTCTTATCCAGAAAGAATTATACAATAATATGGCAGAACTAAGAAAAACATCTAAATACTCATTTCTGACTCAAAAAAGTGGAATGTCACGGCACAGCCTAAGCATATTGCATACATAGAGAAATTTTACCCTAATTCTGGCTAATTGCCAGAATCAATTAATATGAGATTTAAATAGATAAAACTGAGTAACTGAAATTCAACTTGGGTATAACTGTATTTCCAATATATTTTCTAAAGGATTGATACTAGACACAGTAAGTAAAGCTTTTCAGAGAAGTTTGAAAAAAATGTACAAAGGCAAATAGAAGAGCACAAAGAAAACAGAGACTATGGTTTTCCACCACGAGGGATCCAAGGCAAAGAGCAGAAAGGTACATTTTATAATGTAGATGGTTCAATTCACATTGAAGAAACAACTTTATGAAACTGAAGAAACTTCTATCAAGTAGCTTCACTTCATTTGTAAACATCTAAAGGAAGATTCTAAAACATTAGTGGACACAACAGGGTAGGTTTTGTTTGAGGAAATAGAGCATAGCCAAAAGAAATTTTCTTCTAATTTTTCTGGTACACAATTGGGATATATTTCTCAGACAGAACTAATATCTTCAGATAAACAAGAAACAACCAGTGTATACTATGAGAAATACTCTTCTTCTCAAGGCTACTCATATCTGAATTTATCAGTGCTGAGCAGTAGGCCCCCTGGGCTGGCTGGGCCACAGACCTGCACTCGCCTAAATGCCCACTGCTTACTCAAGTGTTTTTCGGACACACTCTCTGCTTTAGCTAATCAGCCCTAGGAGTGTGTTGCTCTGTAACAACGTAGATCTCTATCTTTCTAACATCTAGCCAGTCGAAGTGATGTTTGATAAAACAGTACTCACATATTGGGCAATAACATCCTTGTTTTCATTCATGGCGATATCATAGAGAATGACAGCACATCGAGAATGTAGTTCGGGTTCGTCAGATCCCAGCAGGTTGATCAAAGCAGGAATGCCTCCTCCCTCCACCAAAGCATGCACCACACTTACGTGGGTTGAGATATTACTCAGCAACCCAACAGTTTTACACTGCAGTTTTATTTTGGGATACTTTAATAGATTGATTAAGGCAGGAATGGCACCTGTAAAGATAAGAGTAAAATGAGCACTCACTTTGCAAATTCATTTAGAGTGGATTTATCCTAACAGTATTGAAATAATGTTCATGGTATGGCAATATAAATAATGACAGACAGTTCTACCAAATATCGAGTAACCACTTGAAGTGATATGGGAATAATTTTGTCTTATTTCCAAGACAGTGGCTTTTGCTCTTTGCATATTTAACTTCATGGAGCACTCAATCATACACTTTATATTAGGAAATATAAAACCATCTTAAAACCAGCAGTTTTTGGCCCACAGAATTGATAATTTGTTATGTAGAGAGAAACTCACTATGCCGTTCACCATCTTCCTGCCTCAGCTTCCCAAGGGCTGGGATCAAGGTGTACATCATCATGCCCAACTGATAGGCTTTGAGGTATTGATTGGTAAAGTTCTGCTCTGGGTACTGACTTGTCTTGGTGTGGCAGTAACTCTTTAGTTATATGAATATGTTATCATACATTACCTTAAACCAAAAAGTAAAAAAAAAAAAAAAAGTGCTACCTAGTAAAATGTACCAGTAGCCTCATGTATTATAATTAGCCATTGGGCATGGTAAAAATAGAAAACTTGGCTTTAGCTGAATGCATGTTAGGTTTATGTCAGTCAGTTGATAAGAAACCACCCCATAGAAGATACACAAAGTTATGAAAAATAAGAGTATAACTGCGGCTCATTTATTTATCTACCTGAAATGAAACTATCTATTGCTGACTTTTGGGGCACATACAGCTTTTCCAAACTTGTTTTTAATGCATTTAGCAAATTTAAGCTTGTTCGTTCATCAATATTCAGGAGATGTTGTATGTGCCTCAATATGCACATTGGGGAGGTAGATACCATGCTGGATAGCTCAGACATCCCCATCATTTCAGAAAGTGACAGTGGATGGTACTGTTCTCAGAACAAGTCTACGTGGTTGATCCGTTTGATTAGTGCAGAAACTGGGCCAGAGAAACCATGCAATTAATGTAATTTCTAAATGCAAACTACTTGCAAACCCGGCCTGACACTGTCTTCTAGTTTTCAGTTTAAGAAATAAATTGCGCAAGTGTAGAACTGGAATAATTTGTCAGAAAGTACTCATAGCAGTACTGTGGTGGTTGCACTTAACAGGAGAGCCTCTTAACAGGAGTGAAGGACTGTCTGGATAGGTTGACCTCTGAGCATACGGGGGGGGGGGGCTGGGTTAATTACTAATGTTAGCTGTTGTGCGAACTCATCTACTGTGGGTGGCACCATGACCCAGGCAGGGGAGCCTAGACTGTAAGTTTAGAAAGTGGGCTGAGCATGAGGCAGCACCATGACCCAGGCAGGGGAGCCTAGACTGTAAGTTTAGAAAGTGGGCTGAGCATGAGGCAGCACCATGACCCAGGCAGGGGAGCCTAGACTGTAAGTTTAGAAAGTGGGCTGAGCATGAGGCAGCATGCATGCATGCATTCGTTGTGCTCTGCTCCTAAATGTGGATGTACGTGACTAGCTGATTCGGGTCCCTACATCTTAGATTGTAACTTGGAATTATAAGCTGAAATAAATACTTTCTCCCTTATGGTTTTTTTTTTTTTTGGGTCAGGGTAAGGTTATCACAATCGATATTAAACTGGAACAAGCAAATATTATACTAGAAGAACTAGCACACTAGAGTTCCTTGTTACTTCTTAAATTTAAATTTTTAGAGAAATAGAGCTCCTCTAAAAATGTACAAAGTTTTTTGAGCATGTGCAGCTTTCACATGAAAAAATATAAAGTTGATAAGTGATCTCAGAGAAAAGAAAAAAGCTCAAAATCAACTAAAAAAGTACCCTTTATAGTTAAAACAATATTTTAGAGTAAATTTGACTGCACATACTTGTAAACCCAGTTCTCAAAAGCTGTAAGGCAATGGAATTCACAATTGACACTGCCAAAGAAGCCAAGACCCTGAGACTAGATAGGTCATGGACCTTAGGGGAAACCTAGCATTATTCTTCTGCTAAACCCACATAACAATAAAATGACTCCTAATGACGTTCTCATATATCAGTGCCTTACTCAACCCACATCAGAAAGCTTCTTCTCAGGGTAGATTAGAATTAGCACAGATACCCACAACTGGACAGTGTGCAAAGAGTGAGAGATTTTAGAGCATTCAGCCCTAAATGGGATGTCTCCATCAAACCCCTCCTCTAAAGGCTCAGGGATCTACATAAAAAAGGTGTGGGCGGGGGAAGACTGTAAGAACCAACCATCCCTAAGCAAGAAGCCATCTGAATTTGGCACCCACTGGCAAAGGGAAAAATCGGTTTCTCCAGTGGAGTATTAATAGGTATATCAGGCCCAGGAGTAGCTGGCCAACACAGGAAGAAAAAAAAATCTCTGTGGTATTTTTTGGACTTTTTGTTTCCTTTTGCTTTGTTTTGATTCTGTTGTCTTATCAGGCTTTTGCCTGTTTGTTTTGATTTATGCTTTTGTGTGGGTTTCATTTTTTGATTTGTTTTTGTTCCTTGGGTTTTAGTTTTGTTAGTTTATAGAGAGATCAAAAATATAAAGTTGTGTGGGTGGGGAGGTGGGGAGGATCTGAGAAATGTTGAGGAGAAAAACATGATCAAATATATTGTATAAATTTTAAATTAAAAAAAAAGGCTGAGGCACCTTAGTGCATGGGAGAGGGGCCTGACCCTGCCCCATCCTATTGTGCCAGATTTTGTTGACTCTTCATGGGAGCCCTTACCCGTGAGGAGGAATGGACTGGGGATGGGCTGGGGAGATGCAGGGGGGATGGCGGCAGAGGAGGAGTGAGAAGGAGAACTGTGGTTGGAATATAAAATGAATTTTAAAATAATAAATCAATTACTAAGAAAAAAGGCTAAGACAAGGGGATTACAAGTTCAAGGTCAGCCTGCGTTATATGTGTGAACCTGTCTTGAAACACACACACACACATATGCATACACAGGCACCCACAAACATACACATATTTACACACACACACACACACACACAAACACACACACACACACACACACACACAAATTTAGTGGTATAGTATGTGCTTTGAATCTGATCCCAGAATATGTATGTCTATATTAATATACATGCATTATATATAATACACTATATTAAAATGATTAACCTGAATATAATATAGCTTTACTTAAAATATGACAAGAAAAAGACAGTTAATATATTTTGTATCACCTGCATCCAAAATACATTTCCAGTATTGGTCATTTGCTAAGCAAATCACTTCTAAGGACATGACAGCCATCATCCTTCGCTTGAAGCTTTCACACTGCAACATTTCTGATAAATATTCAACAGAAAAAGACAACTGTAATTCACAGTAGAGACAATGGAATGGCGTTTGTTTTCATATAGGTAAAGTGAACCTAAGAGTTGAGATCATCCCATCATCAGCTGCTAAATTCGTCTGTCTGTGGTCCTCTGCAGTGCTGGATAGATCGTCATGGGCTAGCTTGGATCTGGACTGGTCATCAAAGGCCATCTTCATGATTTAGTCACTAGCTTGGTTCTGGGTAGATCACCATAGACTAGCTTGGATCTGGACTGGTCATCAAAAGCCATCTTCATGATTTAGTTACTAGCTTGGTGCTGGGTAGATTACCATGGGCTAGCTTGGATCTGGAGTGGTTGTTAAGGCCCCATCTTCATGGTTTAGTCACTACCTTGGTGCTATCGGAAGGTGATGGGACTGTTAAAAGGTGGGACTTAGTGGGAGGTTAGAGATCACTGGGGGAAGCATCCTTGAAGGGGATTGGGGATTCTGTCTCTCTGTTTTTATGTACTTCTCATGAGGAAAACAGGCCATGGGCCTCTGCCACTGGCTCATGTAATACCTGTTATTACTTCATCACAGTCGATCCTGTGAGCACATATAAAGTGCTCTCTTGGGCATTTGTAACAGTAACAGAAGCCAACACAATATGTCCAAGATCTCCATAATTGATAGTATATATATACTTACTGAAAAAAATTCTAAAATTATTTCTTTGGTCTGAATGACTATCATTGCCTAGAAACACAGCTCAAATTCACTAGAAAAGCAATACATTTCTCATGCGTCTACCATTAGTTTTTAATAAAATTTGAGTAGGAGATTTTAAGAATGGCAAAATAAACTACATGATCAACAACATTTTAATAGCCATTAAATTAGAGATTCTTTGTACATTTCCTGAAAATAATTAATATGACTTTCAAAAACTGAGCTTGAATTTGAACTCCAAACAAAAAAATGAAGTGTTATGTATGTTTCTAGACAATGTCTGTGGTGTGGGAAAACATGGGCTGAATCCTTCCTTCACCTCTTTCTCTGGCCTCCCTCTTCTCAGCGCTGTCCCAGCCCTCACTTAGACTGCTGTGTTTTAAATTTCAGTTTCTACTCTAAAGGCTAATTAAGTTGCTTCTAATTAGGTGAATTTTGTTCCTAGTGGAAACAGGCAGTGTAAAGTGAGAGAACTATGTCAAGGCTTGAGGCAGAGCAGAAGCACCATGCTTACTCTATTATTCTACTGATGTCATCATCAAGTAATTACCAGGACTTTATAATCACAGCTACTGCAAGTAGTGACCCCTGCAAGTTATCCATGCCATTAGTCATCCTTTTTAGGAGCCAGACTTGCAAGTATTTGTAATGGAAGTCTATAATAAGTTGATCCTCACAATGACACAATGACATAAAAATAAACACCAAGGCATTTCCCAATAGCTCTTTGGGTTGATGTGCTCACTGCTTAACATGTGCTGAGATTGATAACCAGCCAATTCTGAACAATTGGACATCATTTTTTAATGTGTGTGTGTGTGTGTGTGTGTGTGTGTGTGTGTGTGGTGTTTGTGTGAATGGGTTTTTCGTGTGTGTGCACTCATGTGCATTTTGTGTGTGTATGTACACACATATGTGTATATGGTGTTTGTGTGTGTACATGAATGGACATTTTTACTGGGGTGGGGGTTCAGAGGTCGGCAGTGGCTGCCTTTCACTATTACTTCTCTACCTTAATTTTTGAGACAGAGTTTCCCATTGAACCTTGAGCTTGTCAACTGGCTTGACTGGCTGGCCAGTGAGCTTCAGGGACTAGCCTGTCTCCTGTTTTCATTGCCATCATGTCCTCCTTGTTTTTCCTTGAGTGTTTGTCTGCTGCTGTTATTATTTAATCTTCATGCAATTTTGTGTGGGGTCTTGGGAATTAATAAAGTTCCATGTATGCATTAAATTGATCTAATACCTTTATCTTTATAATAGTTCTATCTAGATTAAGCACAAAGTTGAAGAAAATTTTCAAACCATTTTGTAAGCCCTAGTACTAGGATTACAAAGAGGCTACCATGCCCAGAGTTATCTGTGTGCTTAGCATCTGGATTCAGGTCTCAAGTGCACAACAAGTGACTTACTGAGCCATCTCCCCAGCCCAAAGAATCAAACATCTCCACTGGGAAAACATCAGTTCTCATTCTCCGTCTCTTTTCTTTTTACTTTAATTTTTATTTTATGCTAATGATTCAAAATTGTAAGCCACTAAAATACATACAGCAAAATACTGTGGCCTTGTACCCACTCCCTCGGTTACTTTGGGTTCATCTCTCTAGAAGCAGTACTTTCGATTCTGGGTTCCACAGATTTGTGTAGTTTGACACACTGATACACCGTGCTGCCTTGGCCTTTGTTTATGGCTTCAGGTTATGGGAAATGGGGAACTAGCTCAATGCTGCTCTGCAACTTCCTCATATTTACAGCTGTTACTTGAATGAATACATTGTCTATCCAAATATCACTCTCATCTGGGCATTGTAGTGATTCATGGTGTCTCATTTCTCACTATTATTTTTTCTGGAGGTAATCTTTCCCTATTTGAGGTTCATCTTCTTGGTTTTCACTGATTCAATGGCACTCTCAGAGTCATGCCTTTTCTTAAGGCTGGGCCAATAGCTTCACCCTGAACACACCTTTGCTGTCATCCTTGAAATTCAGGTTGCCCTTCTCTCTACTCCGTGGGCCTTCCCACTTCTGTTCACTGAGAAGATAGCCTGACCACCTGCTGGCCTTTCTTGGCTAGACCCCGTGGAGAACCCAGCTCCAGCTGTGTGAGGACTGAGGTATGAGTTTGAGACTTGCTCGACTCTCCTAACATTGGCTTGGGATTCTCTGGGAGGCTAGGTCTAAGAGGCGCCTGCCTAGTTCCATCTTGTTTATCACTGCCATGCCCTCCCATTTTTCTCTTGGATGTTGACTGCTAATGCTGTTGTGCTGTTTAATTTTCATGTGCTTGTAACGGGGAATGTGGAAGGAGTGAATTTGATGTGTACATTCAATTGACTGACCTTCCCTTTTTTTTTTTTTTTTTTTTTTTTTTTTCTGGCTAGACTAAACACAAAATTTTGCATAAAACATTCATCAAAACGTGAAGGAAGACTTTTCTAAAGCTGCCTCTAGAATGAGAAGGAATAAAGTGGAGGGAGCCTTTGCTGCTTAAATTTTCATTTCCTCTTTTTCCTTTCTTTTTTTTGAATTTGGTTTATTATGGAATATTTCTCCATGTTAATGGAGAAAATGATTTTCTCACTTCTAAGAAAGTTGGAAAATAAAAATAAATAATCACTATGTAAGATATAGCTCATTTGGATCTTTGATTTTTAAGTTAGAAATCAAACTACTTTTCCACACAAAAAGATAGTTCCCATTAACAACTGTACCATTTTTGGTTTTAATTCATATATTTTTGTTTCATGATCTTTAATTTTAAATATACACATTCTATTTCATCTATTCCATTTCAGCATATCAATGATATTATAGAATAATCAGAGCACTTATTTAAAATGAAATCATAAGTTCTATACTCACCTACCAAAGTTTTCCAAACTGGAAGTTCAGGGATATTCAATTCTATTATATACTTGAGTACCTCTGTATGAAATGTGAGCACTGACAAATGAATGATATTATTTCCTTTAATATCTGTTTTTCTCCAGTTGGCACCAAGAGAAAACAGGTACTGAATAGTGTCCAATGCTCCTGAAGTGGCGGCAAGTAGTAGTGGAGTACACTGATTTCTAAAAATCAAAAACACATTATAACAGTATTGAACACATGTACAGACTCGCATTCACTTTCGTTGCATGACTGAAGAAGCTCTAATTCATACCATCACCTTGTCTTCCTTTAGCATCTCATTCCCTACACTCCACAGATGTACCTCCCTGCCTACCCATTCTCTTTCTCAATTATTTTGACTTATCGTGTGTTTGGAAGTTGATACTACAGACAAGAGTTAAAATATACTGCCTATCTAATCTTTCCAGCAGCTTTACAAATTAGTGGACAGGCAATTGGGCATCATCAACCCACGTTTCAAACATCAAATAGACCTGGTAGTCGCCAAACACATTTTTTTTTTTTTTTTTTTTTTTTTTTTTTTTACATTTTACATCCAATTTCAAATCCCAGTTTCCTCATTGTAGCAAAAACTAACAGTGTGAAAGCTGACTGTGTGTTGTCTTAGACAATGAAGATCTTTGGGTTGTGTAAATGGTTATTCGGTTCAGCCTCCCATCTCCTGTCTTCCCTCAGAGGTATGTGTGCGACACTGCAAATGAGTGGGGTTACAGGAAGGCATGGGCAGCTCTGTGAAGAGAAAGGCGTGGGCCACTGCTTCCCCTCGATCCTTCTGCTCCTGTCTATCAGGCAGGCCTGATAAGAGACACAGGAACTGCTGCCATTTCACACTATGGTGGGAAAGTCATGTGTAAGGAGCAATAAGAGAAGCCCAGTGTCCTTCAAACTGCTGAGCCAGTAAGTAGGTTAACAGACAAAGCATTTGAAGCCTTAGAGTACATTAACCCTACAACAGGCTCAGAGAATCAAAACCATCGCCTGGTCTTCAGATTCCTAGACAAGTCTTAGAAAGAATGCACACTCCCACCCTAAAAGTGGCTCTTTGGAAGAATTATGAAACAGAAGGCTGTGGGACATGTGTCCTGTTTCCAACTCTTCTTCTTTTTTGCTGTAGTCCTCCTCTAGATACAAGTAGTTACCTGCTGATCATGTAGGAGACAAGTGCAGTGGTCTCAACCTTAGTCACGTGGCTAGCCTAATAAACCTACCCGTGAAGCTGTATTATTGATACAGTAATTAAAGAAATCCCAGGACTTCCTGCTGGAGGGGACATACACAGGCAGGTGGATGCTCTGCTCTTTGTGAATTTTATGATTAAGCCGGAAGAGGAGATGAGGACCAGAGAGGATGAGAGGGCATTAGTGCTTTGTTACCTTGCAAGTCCCTATAGCAATTATGCCTGACGGGAGTCAGGAAAGCAGAAGTTTACACTCTCACAGATGCTCAGTAACTCACTCAGCTGTGGCCTCGGCCTCTAGCAAGCTCGGATCCTTCCTGCAGAGTACAATGATGATGCAGATGTTGTCGTAGAAAGCAGCGAAGTGGATGGGCATCCAGCCTCTCTTCTCGGAAAGTGTGTAATCGGCTTTGAAGCAGAGCAGACAGACAGTCGATTCCAGGGAGCAAGCCTGACAGGCCAGGTGTAGAGGTGTTGGACCTGGGACGGACAACAATTGCTTCATTAGTGAGAGCTAGCACTCCTAAAACAAGTAAATCACAAATAAGCATGCCTTTATGAACCCAACCACACAGCTTAGTGCTGTACAATATATAAATCCTCCAAAATAAGCACTGAAACAATTATTTGGGCAATCTTATATTTCTTTGATTAACTTGGAATGTATGAAGGGATCATGCCTTTTCATGAACAAAGAAAATATGCATCTATTTTTTGAAGGTCTTGCTGTGTAGTTCAGGTTGGTCTGGTACTCACGATAGCTCAGGAGAGCCTCAAACTTGAAATCCATTGGCCTCAGCCCCCTGATGCTGATGCTGTGTGCCACTCTATCTTACTACATCTTTTTTAAAAAACTAAATAACTATGTAAAATAGTCATGATAAATCAAGCTTTAATTTTACACTTAATTCAACTATTTCACAATGAAGTAATTTCATTAAATGTCATTCAGGGGCTTCAAACAGCCTCGTTCCTGCTCTGGTGGTGATTTAAATTTTATTTTACGTGTGTGTGTGTGTGTGTGTGTGTGTGTGTGTGTGTGTGTGTGTACGCGTGCGTGTGAGCATGTGGGAGATTGTGTGTGCATGTGTGTATGTGTGCATTTTGTGCGTGCGTGCACATGTGCGTACAATGTTCCTCCATCACAAAGCAGCCAGTTCAAGTACCTAGTCCCTCTCTGCCTTTGCCAATTTGGTCTTTTAAAGTAGGTGGTTGTGTTTTTTTAAACGAAAGAACTCTCCTTAAATTAGTTTATATAGACTCTAAGGGTATATGGTTGGTCTCTCAAATGTGTAGAAAGGTATAAAACTCAAGGAATTTTTTTTCCAATTCCAATGCTTATCTCAAAACCTTGACCTCACCCGAAATTAATCATTCCTTAGAGCCCATATATCATTATTGCCACTAGGTGGCAGAATGTCTATCATAAACTTGTTTGTGGAACTGGGATGCAGAGCTTGAAGGCAAGAACCGTCCAGCTGAGTTACATTCCCAGCTTGTAACTGATATAAACAAGCTTCAAAAACTACTTTGGAAGCTAAATTTATAAAACAAGTGGAGACCACAGCAAATTCTCTGTTAAATATTATAAAAAGGAACACCTAACATGAATATCAATAACCATGGGTGGAAAAATTATTTTCATGCAGCCTTTGCTGGTCTTGAATTCACCCACATAACCAAAGATGACCTTAACCCCCATTTCCTGCTTTGATCTTCCATGTGCTGGGATTACAGACTTGTGTCATTCACACTCAGCAAAAAAAGTTTCAACATATACAATAATCTTTTCACATATATACAAATTGCACTTATGTCTTACCGTTTCTTTCTTTTTTTGTATCCCCTTTGGATGAGTCTGCTTAAAAAGAAAATTCATAGGCATGTGATTACCAATATATAGCAGTTTTCTAAATTAGTCAGAAAGAACAAAATGACAAGGTATTGATACAGACAGAAATATTACATCAGACAATGGGGAGTACAATTTATGACAGAGACATGTAGTTATGTTGCATACACCCAAAACCAAGTCAGAGCAGACTTAGAAACCCAGCCTTTCAAAAGGTAACAAAAGCTTGTAGCTAGGCTAATGCATTGATTTAGCATAACATTTGTTATTTATTCATACTGTGAAACATACCTATTTATTAGCAAGTGGAAATTTGAGAAGGACAGGGATGAATGGAAAAATTTTAATTGTCAAAAGTTTTTCCACATTAAAAAGTACTTAACGGATAACTGATTACTCACTATAGTTAACTCATTGAATTCTGCTTTATGTGAACTAGTTTCATTCAGTATTGAACAAGATGTAAAAACTGAGTGATACCTGGGGTGAAAATGATGAAGCGTCTCTGGTTGACATTGAAGTTGGCGTTACACAGCTGACATATGATAGAGACCCGATTGTGCAGGGCAGCGTGGTGGAAAATGGCATAGCCTGCTTCATCAGAAACATTGATTGTTGAGCTTGAGGTTCTACGGCTAAATGTATGGAAAACAGCAGACAAACCTCTTTCAACAGCAGACTTCATACCAAATGGGATACTCTAAAAGTTTTTAAAAGGCCAGCATTAGTTTTCTTAAATGGTTTTTATAAAAATAATTGTAAAGGTTTCTTTAAGAGAAAGAAAGGAACACAGAATGTATTAACAGAGTCACCAGAGTGTGGTACGACTTTTGCCACATTGTCATAGGGGCCAGTGAAGAGCTTCTCTCTGGACAATGTTGAAACTGGCCGAACTAGAAGACATCGAGAGCATGGAAATACACTTGGAAAGATTGTTTCCTTTGTTTTAGAAGCTGTAGCTTCATCCTTGCAGACTAAATGGACTAATAACTTCCTAAAACACTTTAAAGGCAAATGAAAATTCTGAAGACTACCTGCTTCTGACTTAAGGACAACTCAAGAAACTTGAGAAGTATAGCTAGAGAGAGACTTTTTCTTTTCTTTTTTTCTAGTTCTCAGATGAAGAGGTAAAAATACCATGTTGTTCTTTGAGATGTTCTGATAAATACTTTAAATTATACTAGTTATCAGAGTTTTAAATGTATGGATTTTTAAACAGATAAATGGAAGGTACATGCCAGCCTCCCCTTTGAAGTTAGAGAGCCCAACAGATGGCTTCCAGCAGCTAAGGAGCCCAACAGATGGTTTCCAGCAGCTAAGGAGCCCAACAGATGGCTTCCAGCAGTTAAGGAGCCCAACAGATGTGATCCAGAGGCTAAGGAGCCATGGCTTCCAGCAGTTAAGGAGCCCAACAGATGTGATCCAGAGGCTAAGGAAACCAACAGATGAGTTCCAGTGGCTAAGGAGCCCAACAAATGGGTTCCAGAAGCTAAAGTGATGTTTGTTAAACAGACACAGAGATAATTCAGGTTATCAGCTTGGTTTCTGCATTCCCAGAAGAAGCCAGCTGGTGACATTTACTGACTGTATGACTTATGTTAATTCTCTACATTTCCCATTTATCATCTGTGTAATAGTAATGATAGCAACAGAAGTAAGACTTCAGAGTTTTCCTATGTATAGTGTGTCTTAAACATTAGAAACCACTATTTGCCATCCAAATGAACTATAGTCCAGTTTTTTTGCAGTTTGTTCTGTACTTGGCCAAGAATGTATAATCTAGAACCCATGTAGACATTCTGCTAATAAAAGGTGGGATTTTTATTTTATATTGAAGTACTTATGTATTAGTTTATTCCTAGTGTAAGAATGTAATGTTAGAACAGCCACAGGAGCTCTTCCACTTCCAGGAAACAAGGTGCCCTATTGAGACCTTGTCTGACAATTTCCAGGCTAAGCCTCCAAGTCCCAGAGCTTTTCTCCTGCGGACATGAGTGTGCATAAAAGTGAGTGTTGGTGGTGATAGGTCTTGCTCTCAACCCATTGCTCTGCCTTTTGCCTGGGCATCAGACAGCTTGATTGCAAGGCTTGTGCAATAAAATCATCCTATTCTCAGAAAGGTATAACACACATACACATGCTCATGCTCGTGC